TGCATGCCTGTAGTCTCGGCTACTTGGGAGGCTGAAGCAGAAGAATCGCTTGAGCCCCAGAGGCAGAGGTTGCAGTGAACCGAGACTGCACCACTGTACTCAAGCCTGGGCAACAAGAGCGAAATTCCATCTCAAAAAAAAAAATAATAGTCTGCTGGGCGCAGTGGCTCACACCTGTAATCCCAGCACTTTAGGAGGCCAAGGCAGGTGGATCAACTGAGGTCAGGAATTCGAGACCAGCCTGACCAACATGGTGAAACCCTGTCTCTACTAAAAATACAATATTAGTCAGGTGTGGTGGCACATGCCTCTAATCCCAGCTACTTGGGAGGCTGAGGCAGGGGAATCGCTTGATCCCAGGAGACAGAGGTTGCAGTGAGGCGAGATTGCCCCATTGCACTCCAGCCTGGGTGACGGAGCAAAACTCCATCTCAAAATAGTAATAATAATAATAATAATAAATAAAATAAAATAATTAATAATAGTAAAATAAACATAAATAAAAGGAATGGGAGATATTAAAGTGGACTGTGATAAAGAAAGAGAATACATAGGCCGGGTGCGGTGGCTCACACCTGTAATCCCAGCATTTTGGGAGCCCAAGGTGGGTGGATCACGAGCTCAGGAGATCAAGACCATCTTGGCTAATATGGTGAAATCCCGTCTCTACTAAAAATACAAAAAATTGGGCCGGGCGCGGTGGCTCAAGCCTGTAATCCCAGCACTTTGGGAGGCCGAGACGGGCGGATCACAAGGTCAGGAGATCGAGACCATCCTGGCTAACACGGTGAAACCCCGTCTCTACTAAAAAACACAAAAAAAAACTAGTCGGGCGCGGTGGTGGGCGCCTGTAGTCCCAACTACTCGGGAGGCTGAGGCAGGAGAATGGCGTGAACCCAGGAGGCGGAGCTTGCAGTGAGCTGAGAACCGGCCACTGCACTCCAGCCTGGGCAACAGAGCGAGACTCCGTCTCAAAAAAAAAAAAAAAAAAAAATTAGCCAGGTGTGGTGGTGGGTGCCTGTAGTCCCAGCTACTTGGGAGGCTGAGGCAGGAGAATGGCGTGAACCCAGGAGGCGGAGCTTGCAGTGAGCCGAGATCCGAGATCGTGCCACTGCACTCCAGCCTGGGCAACAGAGCGAGACTCCGTCTCAAAAAGCAGAAAGAAAACAAAGAAAGAAAAGAAAAGACATGTAAAGTGCTGAGCCCAGGGATGTAGTTTTGAAAAACAGCAATGGCCAACATTCCCTTAAGAGAGAGGACTTTGTTTAGCAAAATTTTTTTTTTGTGTGTGTGTGTTTTTTTTAAAGAGATAGGATCTTGCTATGTTGCCCATGTGGACTTGAACTCCTGGGCTCAAACTCACTCCAGATCTCTCGCCTTAGGCTCCTAAATAGCTGGGGTTACAGGTGCATGTCACCATGCCCAGCTCTGTTTAGCAAAATCTGTTGATGGTCTTCATCACTTTCTAGTTCTAGACTTTGGATAAATTATTCCACCTTTCTCTGTTCCTCAGTTTCCTTATCTGCACCATGGAGATAATAGTAGTACATCCCTCAAAGGTTGTTATGTGGGATAATTAAATTAATGGAGGTAAAACATTTGATGAACAGTGTCTGGCATATGGGTAATAAATGGCAACTATGATTATGTTAGTTGAGGCCGGGCATGGTGTCTCACACCTGTAATCCCAGCACTTTAGGAAGCTGAGGCTGAATGATCCCTTGAGCCCAGGAGCTTGAGACCAGCCTGGGCAACACAGTGAGACTTTGTCTTTTTTTTTTTTTTTTTGAGACAGAGTCTTGCTCTGTCACCCAGGCTGGAGTGCAGCAGCTCAATCTTGGCTCGATGTTGGCTCACTGCAACCTCCAACTCCCCGGTTCAAGCGATTTTCATGGCTCAGCTTCCAGAGCAGCTGGGACTACAGGCACATGCCACCATGCCCAGCTAATTTTTGTATTTTTAGGTGGAGACAGGGTTTCACCATATTGGCCAGGCTGGTCTCAAACTCCTGACTTCGTGAACCACCCGCCTCGGCCTCCCAAAGTGCTGGGATTACAGGTCTGAGCCACAGTGCCCAGCCGAGACCCTGTCTCTTAAAAAAAAGTTTGAAAATTGACCGGGTACGGTGGCTCATGCCTGTAATCCCAGCACTTTGGGAGGCCGAGACAAGTGGATCACGAGGTCAGGAGATCAAGACCAGCCTGGACAACGTGGTGAAACCCCAGCTCTAGTAAAATACAAAAAAATTAGCCAGGCATGATGGAGCATGCCTGTAGTCCCAGCTACTAGGGAGACTGAGGCAGGGAAGTTGCTTGAACACGGGAGGCAGAGGTTGCAGTGAGCCGAGATGGCGCCACTGCACTCCAGCCTGGCGACAGAGCAAGACTCCGTCTCAACAAAAAAAAAAAAAAAAAGTTTAAAAATTAGCTAGGTGTGGTGGCACATGACTATAGTCCCAGCTATTTGAGAGGCTGAGGTGGGAGGATTAATTGAGGCCAGGAGTTGGAGACTGCAGTGAGCCCAGCTCGCACCACTGTACTCCAGCCTGGGCAACAGAGCAAGAAAAAAAATGCTCTAAAAAAACATAAATGAACGAATCACCAATCTCTGGGCATCAACAGTCTTCATGGAGTCAGGACTCTTAGCAACGTTGATTCAATGAATGAGGACCAGTATTCAGGTGGCCTTAAGGGGCTGGTGGCAGGAGTAGTAGGGTGAGAGCCTTGGGTTTGAGGGAGAAAACTCACCCCGATCTGAAGTTTCTACCCACCCAATCCCACCTGACCCACCTCAACTCACACCATTTCTCCATCACTCCTAACTAAACTCAATCCAACAGTGCCCATCAACTGATGAATGAATTAGCCAAAGGTGGGAGATGACTGAATATTACTTCGCAATAAAAAGGAATGAAATACTGATGCATGTACAAATAAACCTGGAAACCAGCCGGGCACTGTGGTTAATGTCTGCAATCCCAGCACTTTGGGAGGTCGAGGTGGGTGAATCACTTGAGGCCAGGAGTTCAAGACCAACCTGGCCGACATGGTGAAACCCCGTTTCTACTAAAAATACAAAAATTAGCCAGGGATGGTGGTGTGTGCCTGTAGTCCCAGCTACTTGGAAGGCTGAGACAGGAGAACTGCTTGAACCCTGGAGGGGGAGGTTGCAGTGAGCCTAGATCATGCTACTACACTCCAGCCTGGGTGACAGAGCGAGACCCTGCCCCCAAAACAAAAATCTCCTGGAAACCATTTGGCTCAAAAGGCCAGACACAAAGGGCCATATATTGTGTGATTCCATTTATTTTTATTTATTCCTTTTGTTTTTGTTTTTTGGTTTTTATTTTAGAGAGAAGGTCTCACTCTGTTGCCCAGGCTGGAGTACTGTGGTGTGATCATAGCTCACTGCAGCCTCCAACTCCTGGCCTCCAGTGATTCTCCTGCCTCAGCCTCCTGAGTAGCTGGAACTACAGATGTGCACCACTGTACCTGGCTAATGTTTTTATTTTTATTTTTGTAGAAATGGGGTCTTGCTATGTTGCCTGGGCTGGTCTGGAACTCCTGGCCTCAAGCAATCTCTGCCTTGGCCTCCCAGAATGCTGGGGTTGCAGGAGTGAGCCACCTCACCCAGCCTGATTCCATTCATATGAAATGGACATTTCAGTCCAGAATAGGCAAATCCTTAGAGACAGAAAGCAAATTCGTGGTTGCCTACAGCTGGGAGGTTGGAAAGACATGCGAAGTGACCACTAATGGGTATAGGATTTCTTTTAATTATACAGCTTAAATGGGTGAATTATACGGTATGTGAATTCTATCTTAATAAATCAGTTAAAAAATATACCTCAAACCAACATCTAACTCCTAATTCAAATCATCCCAAACCAAACTTTTTTTTTTTTTTGAGACAAGGTCTTGCTGTGGTATCACCCAGGCTGGAGCACAGTGGTGCAATCTCAGCTTACTGCAACCTCCGCCTCCCAGGCTCAAGTGATTCTCCCACCTCAGCCTCCTGAGTGGCTGAAACCACAGGCATACTCCTCCATGCCCAGCTAATTAAAATTTTTTTTTTTTTTTTTGTAAAGAGGCCAAACTTCTGGTTTAAGCTGTCTTGGGCTTCCCAGCCCAAGCTGACAATTTTCAGCTTTTCCTCTAGGAGCCTGGGTGAATAAATAGGCCTCTAATCTCCAGTAAGTCTCATTAAAATTGGATTCCCAAAAGACACATCTAATTAATACAGGTGATGACAGGTACCTCAGATGAGACAAGAGCCAGATCCCAAGAGAGATATGGGCCACATCAGATGAAAGAGATCAAGAGCTGGGTGAGGTGGCTCATGCCTGTAATTTCAGCAGCTCAGGAGGCTGAGGTGGGAGGATCGCTTAAGGCTAGTAGTTTGAGACCAGCCTCGACAACAAAGCAAGACAATATCTCTCTATACACACACACACACACACACACAAACACACACACACACAAAACAACCTAACTGGGTGTGATGGTGCATGCCTGTGGTCCCAGGTACTCAGGAGGCTGAAGAAGCAGGATCAGTTGAGTCCCAGAGTTGGAGGCTGCAGTGAGCCATGATCACGCCATTGCACTCCAGACTGGGCAACAGAGTGAGACCCAGTCTCTAAAAATGAACAAACAAGGGCCAGGCGTGGTGGTTCACATCTGTAATCCCAGCACTTTGGGAGGCCCAGGTGGGGGATCACCTGAGGTCAGGAGTTCAAAACCAGCCTGGCCAACAAGGTGAAATCCCATCTCTACTAAAATTACAAAAATTAGCTGGGCATGGTAATGCGCACGTGTAACCCCAGCTTCTAGGGAGGCTGAGGCAGGAGAATTGCTTGAACCTGGGAGGCGGAGGTTGCAGTGAGCCAAGCTTGCACCACTGCACCCCAGCCTGGGTGATACAGTGAGACTGCGTCTCAAGGATAAATAAAACAAAAATAAAAACAAACAAAAAAATTTAAAAAAGAAGTACAGAGACGAAAACACAGTTCATCAGTTTATTCTCAGATTTGAGATGCAAATTATGCCCTATGGCCTGGCGGTGGGGGGGCCAGGCTTGGGTTGGAATCTCTCATCATATCCTAGCCTTCCCTAAGGAGGAAGCAGATGAAATCTACAACAGGGGGGATTTTCCCTTTTAATACAGACCCAGGTATAAATAGGGCAGCACCATTAGGATCCTGATTCCCCCCCACCATCTTGGTCCCCGATTCACCTGGCATGGCAAGGTGAGTCTGGGGGGGTGGGGGGCAGGGGGAGGGGATTTGCAGAGCTGGGCTGAGGCAGGACAAGAAACACACAGCTCAGTCAAGGGAAGTCCCACTTCCCTCTGTAGTCTGACTTTAATCCTTTCACTGTGGAAGTGGAAAGGATCAAAGGGGGTGGGGGTCCCAGCCTGGGATCAGGAGACATCCAGTGCTTAACTCTGGGGAAGGGTAGCACCAAAAGGTGTGAAGGGCAGCGACAGAGGAGTGAGGAGGCAGGCGTTGGGGAATGGGGAGGCTTTTGTTCATCAGCTCTGAGTTAGAAGCTCATTGCATGGGGGTTCAAGAGGTGGGGAGGTGAGGTTTGGGTGGGGAGGGAGGGGAGAAAGAGCCAGACTGCAGTGTGCCACCTGGAATGGGGTGGGAGGAGGCTGGACCCTTGGGCCAGGGAAGCCCAGCCCCCAGCGCCCTGGAAAGGAGAAGGAATGACTGACCGTGATGAGCGAAGTCACATCCCATTGGCTCCAGAGTCACAGGTAACGATAAATACGGTGGCTTCAAAGCCTCAGCACCAAAGGCACCCCATTCTGAGGCTCCCTCATGGTCCCTCCCACCCCGGACACTCTCAGCTGCTGAAGCAGACGGGGCCCAGTTCAAACCCAAACTTCTGGTTCGTCTGGCCAAAGTCAGTGGCCGCCACATCCCACAGGGGTAGAAATCCCGCTCGAGAAGAGCTGAATTCGAAAAGGGTCTTCGTCTGTCCTTTCCGGAGCTGTCCACAGAGAAGACAGAGATGGCGAGTTATGGGGAGGGTGGCTGAGGTCTTGCTTCCCCTCTCCAGCCAGCCACTGCCCCACCCTCTTACCCGGCAGCCATCCTGGGGGACGCTGACGGTGGCTGCTGTCGTCTGGTTGAAGGACAGCTCCTCTCCATTGGTGCCAAGGAAACGGACGGAGCGGCTGTGGTCACCCGTGGCTTCGTCCAGCCAGGCAGCCGCATTCTGGCAGGAGTAGGTGAGGTTCTGACGAGCTGTGGCACTCAGCAGTTTCAGGAAGTTTAGCTGCACGACATTCACTGGGGACCCGTCGGCGTCCACATAGGAGAACTGGTGGGAGGAGGTCAAGGCAGAGGGTGAGGGGCTCCATGAGCCTCTTTCAGCAGAACCCACCTCCCGGGAATCTCCATCCACTGGCAGACAGACCACGCCTCCCATGTCGCCATCTCTGAGGAGGTCCCACCAGCCACCTGGAGATCCCTGGCAGAATCGCAAGAGTCACCTGAACACCCACTCTGTCCACCTCTCCATCCAGTAGGTCTCCATGCCCACCCCATATGACCTCCCAAATTTTGATTACTTCATCCACCAATCCAGGGTTTTAACACACTCAACCCCACCCGCAAGTCACAACTCTACCTCCACTCTTGTGAGCCACTGGATCTAGACAGCTCACTGTCTCCTGAATACCCGATTTCTGCCCTGTCCAATATGGCAGCCACGTGTCTTGAAATGTGGCCGATTTGAAGGAGGGATTTTTTTTACTTTATTTAATTTTCTTCCCTTTTTTGGTGAGTGGGGGTTGTTGGGGTCTTGCTCTTTTGCCCAAGTTGGAGTGCACTGGCACAATTCTGGCTCATTCCAGCCTCCATCTCCTGAGCTCAAGTCATCCTCCCATCTCAGCCTCCCAAGTAGCTGGGACTATAGGTGCACACCACCATGCCTGGCTGGGACTTTTTTTTTTTTTAACTTCATTTAATTTTTTTTTACTTAAAAAAAGTCATAACTAATGATTGAGCTTCAATCCAGTTATCAGAAAGCTTATGTTTGGAACAACTTGAGTCTGAATCTACTTTTTGAACTGTTGTTCAATGGTTTTATGAAATCTAAATATAGATCAAATATTCCCAATAAAATTTAGCATTTAAATTGTGATGTACTATAAATGTAAAATCTCCATCAGATTTTGAAGAGCTAATATGAAAAAAATACAAAATATCTTAATAATGCTTTTTCTCTTTCTTTCTTTCTTTTTTTTTTTTTTTTGAGATGAAATCTCACTCTGTTGCCCAGGCTGGAGTGCAGCAGTATGGTTTTGGCTCACTGCAACCTCCACCTCCCGGGTTCAAGCGATTTTCCTGTCTCAGCCTCCCAAGTAGCTGGGATTACAGGCACGCACCACCATGCCTGGCTAATTTTTTGTATTTTTAAAAGAGATGGAGTTTTACCATATTGGCCAGGCTGGTCTTGAACTCCTGACCTCAGGTGATCCGCCCACCTTGGCCTCCCAAAGTGCTGGGATTACAGGCATGAGCCACTGTGCCCAGCCATGTGACTTTTTCTTCTTCAAATTCACCAGATGCTGTCTTGACTCTGAACCTTTGCATATGCCATTCCCTCTTCCTGGAACACTTGTCCTTGCCCTTCCTAGCTTGCTAACACAGCACATTCTTTAGGCTTCAGATGAGCTGTGATTTCTACCAGGAAGCCTTCTGGTCTTTCCAACACTCCTCTGAATTTCCACCATGCCCTGTGCTTCCCCTGTCCTGGCACCATCATTCTCTATGGCAATTGACTGCCTGTTACATATCTGAGGCTGCCACCCCACCTCCAGCTTGTGATCCCCAGGAAGGTAGAGGCAAGTCTATCCTGTTCATCTCACCTCTCAGAAACCACTCCTCAAACCCACCCGCTGGTTCCTAATTTTCATGCCACTCCCCACCTTGGCCTCTGGTGACTCACCTTCTTCCCTCGACGGAATGTGCTATACCAGCCTCCAGGCTTTTCCTTGGACCAGGAGGCCAATTTCACCTGGAGGAGAAAAGGGAGGGTCACTGTAGCTGATGCCCTTGGTGCCACCTAGATCCCATCTGCATTTACCTTCTCACATTGTAGGCTGCTGTGACTATGTCAGGATGTTCTCTGGCTTCTGGGATGGTTGGGCTCCGCCAGTGCACAATGGGGGAAGGGGGTTCATGCCCCTGAGGCAACCCTCACCCAATGACTGATGGGAGTTGGTGGATAAATACCCCAGCTCCCTCGCCTCCAAGGGGGATAGCTCTCAGGCGCCTGTGCTACACAGTCTCCCCAGGGCTCCCCAGTGGATTGAGCTCTGGATCCCCAATGGTACCATTTTATTTTAATTAATTAATTAATTAATTAATTTTTGATATAGGATCTCTCTCTATCACCCAGGCTGAAGTGCAGTGACATAATCATAGTTCACTGCAGCCTCAAACTCCTGGGCTCAAGCAATCCTCCCACTGCAGTCTTCCAAGTAGCTAGAACTACAGGTGTGCACCCCCATGCCCAGCTTTTTTTAAATTTTCGAGACAGGGTCTTGTTCTGTCACCCAGGCAGGAGTGCAGTGGTGTGATCACTGGCTCACTGCAGCCTCGACTTCCAAAGTTCAAGCAAACCTCCAACCTCAACCTCCTAAGTAGCAGTGAAACCCCATCTCTACTAAAAAAAAAAAAAATAAAAAAATACAGAACGAATTAGCTGGGCGTGGTGGTGCATGCCTGTAATCCCAGCCACTGGGGAGGCTGAGGCAGGAGAATCGCTTGAACCTGGAAGGCAGAGGTTGCAGTGAGCTGAGATCACGCCACTACATTCCAGCCTGGGAGACAGAGCCAGACTCTGTCACACACACACAAAAAACAAAACCGTTCACTGATACTTGTTTTTGCATCAGTATCTGAATTGCACAGCCACTCTATGAAGTAGATTCTTTCTTTCTTTTCTTTTCTTTCTTTCTTTTTTTTTTCTAGACAGAGTCTCACTCTCTCGCCCAGGCTGGAGTCAATGGTGCAGTCTTGGCTCACTGCAACCTCCATCTCCCAGGTTCAAGTGATTCTTCTGGTTCACCCCCTGAGTAGCTGCCCGCCAGCACACTCAGCTAATTTTTGTATTTTTAGTAGAGACGAGGTTGGTCAGCCTCGTCTCAAACTCCTGACCTCAGGTGATCTGCCCCTCCTTGGTCTCCCAAAGTTCTGGGATTACAGGCATGAGCTACCATGCCCAGCCTACTGATTTCTTTTGGAATTTTCCTTGTCTGTCTTCCCATGGGAGGTATGAGTTCCATAAAAGCAGAGATAGTTTTCTTTTCTTTCTTCCTTTTTTTTTTTTTTTTTTTTTGTTTTCTTTTTTTTTTTTTTTTTTTTGGCTCTGCCGCCCAGGCTGGAGCACAGTGGCACAATCTCGACTCGCTGCAACCTCCACCTCTAGGGCTCAAAAGATCCTCCCACCTCAGCCTCCAGAGTACCTGGGACTACAGGCTCACACCACCATGCCTGGTCAATTTTTAAATTTTTGTAGAAACGGGGTTTTGCTATGTTGCTGAGGCTGATCTCGAACTCCTGACCTCAAGCGATCCTCGCGCCTCAGCCTCCCAAAATGCTGAGATTATAGGCATGTGCCACCACGCTGGCCTGATATTTTTTCTTTTTGATTCTCTGCTGTAGTAGTCCCAGCTCTTGAGACGACTTGGCATACAGTAAGTGCCGGTTGAAGGAAGGATAATGTCCCAGACAAGGTGGGTGTGGGTGTGGGGAGCAGGGGACAGCCCTTCTGGGGGAGGGGAATGAGAGGTTTGGGCCACTCACGATCTCGAACTTCTTGTCGGGATAGAGGCAGGTCTCTCCTCCCGCCGTGAAGTTGCAAAAAACCCTGAACGAGTCCCGCGCGCAGCCCTGGTTGGGGTCAATCCAGTATTCCCCTGCCGCAGAACCAGGCAGGGTGGGTGAGTCCGGATGGGACCCGACGGACCCCAACCCCCCCCACATCCCCAACCTCCGCCCATCCAAGTGGCGGGGGGACCGGACCTCACCATCAGGCAGGTGCGGATGGTTGCGGTGCAGCTCGTGGCACACGAGGCCGGGGCGCTCCGCAGTGCCAGGAGGACGCCGCAGCTGCTCCAGCTCCAAGCTCAGCGATGTGAGCGAAGCCAGCACCTCCTCCAGGCCGCCCTCCACGACTGGGAGTGGGACTGGGACGAAGCGCCGGCGCCTGCGCAGCCCATGCAGCTCGGCAGGGGGACCCTGGGCGTGGGGGATGGGAACGGAGGAGAAGAGAGGGGAGATGGGGGAGGGAGAGACCGGGAGAAAGAGAGACAGGCAGAGATGAAGAGGCAGAGAGACACAAATGAGAAAGAGAAGGGAGATAAACAAGAGGCAGAGACAGAGAAAGGAGAGATAAGCAGACAGGGAGAGACACACAGAAAAGAGAGAGACGGATTCAGAGATGGGGAGAAGCCAAGTTGTAAGAGGACAAAAGAGAAAACGCAAGAAAAGCAGAGACAGAGGGACAGAGAGCGGGGAGAGAGACAAAAGATGAAATAGTGGCGCAAGTATCGAGACAGAGACGGATAAAAAAGATGGAGCAAGACAGGGAGGGAGAGATGGGGTCCGAGAGACAAGACCCAGGTCAGAGCCCCTTCCCCCAACCCCCACCTCCCAGGCCAGACCTTCCTTGGGGTTTTGTAGGGAACTACCCTCTTCACCTACATCCTCTGAACGCCTAGTGTGTGCCTGGCCCAGTGGTGGGCACGGAAGGACCCTCTGGGGACACCCAGACATAGTCCTTGCTCTCCCCCCAGGTTTTGGTGCCCAGCCCCCTCTCCCTGTGGAACTCACCGGGGGGCCTGGTGGGCCTGCAGGTCCGGTGTCTCCACGGGGGCCCATGGACCCCTGTAGGGAGAAGTCACTTGGAGAATGAACTCTATGGAGACCCTTCCCAGCAACACACACACACACACACTCTCTCTCTCACACACTCACACACATGCTCAAACACACACGCACACACTCACACACACACACATACTCAAACACACACTCACACATGCACTCACACACACTTCACACACACACTCACACACTCTCACACACACACTCACACACACTCACTCACACACATGCACTCACACACTCACACACAGGCACTCACACACACTCACACACACTCACACACTCACACGCACTCACACACATGCAGTCACACACACACTCACACACACTCACACACACTCACACTCACACACACACTCACACACACACTCACACTCTCACACACACAGCCTTGGGGAAGGCACATGAAGTTTTCAGCATTAAGCATCAGACACAAATTTTCTTTTCATGTTTTAATGTCTCTGAAATCAGCTTCTTAACATCTTTGGCAAGTCATAGTTTACTTGGCAGAACTGTTTTCTTTCCTAGCAGTTTGTAAAATAATGGTACATCTTATAATTGACGGCATTTTGGATCTGATGAAATACAACAGTAGGTGTTGAATAAATATTTGTCAAAGGCACGACTGCATGAATAAATAAGTGAATGAAGGCAGAGGCGTGGAGGGTTCTAGTAGAGTGGAGGGGATGGGGAGCTGGGATATGTAAGCCCACGGAAGCAGGGTGTACTCACCGGAGACCCCTTTGAGCCTTTCTGTCCCAGGGGGCCCTGTAGGGTACAGACAGGAAGAGCTGAGGTCCTGGCCCGGCCCGCCATAGTGACTTCATCCCACAAATGATTCCCTTCATACTCACCGCCACACCTGGGGACCCAGGATGGCCCAGAGAGCCAATGGGACCAGGGGGACCCTAGGGAAAGGACATCAGGGTCAGAATTGGTGGGGTACACCCTACTGCCCTGACAGATCGCCAGACAAGCCTTCAGTCCCACCAAAGGAAGACCCCAAACCCTAGACAAGTCTCCAGTTCCCCCACAGAGAGACCCCAAACCCCAGACACAGCCTCCAACTTGCCAGTTCTGAGATACAGCTCCCTATTTTCCCTAGACACATCCTCATTAATCCAGACCCATGTTTCCTAGACCCCACACCCACAGTCTCTCAACCCACCCCCTCCTTCAGACATATTCTTCCCACTGAGGTCAGGACACTCACAGGATCTCCCTTGGGACCAGGGGGTCCCTGCACGCCTGGCAACCCCTGATCTCCTTTCTCACCGGCTTCCCCCGGGGGGCCAATGAGACCGATCAATCCAGTGTGGCCCTGGAGGACAGAAGAGGCATAGACAGGGGAGGACATGGGACTATTCAGGGAGGTTTTTCTCCTGGAGGCTTAGGGTGATGAGTTTGGGAGCAGAAGGGAGAGAGGGAAAGAGGGGAGGAGATGGGGAAGAGAATAATGGAATCATGTCCTTACCTTTTCCCCCTTGGGGCCAGCATCTCCCTTCAGCCCTGGGAGGCCAGAGGGCCCCTGGGAGAAGAGCAAGGGTCAGTCAGGGATTCTCAAATGTGAACTCTCGAGGTCTGTGTGGGTGGTTGGGGGATGGTCAAATGGGAAATTATGCAGATTTCAAATGGGAATTACCAGGGATGGGGGTCAAGGGATGGTCAGCGTAGGCCACCAAGGTGGAATGATGAGAGCTAATGAGGGGTTGACTGGAGGATGGACAATGTGAGTGGTCAGTGGCCAAGGTCAGCCTGGGTGATCAGTGTAGACCATCAAGATGGAAGGTCAGAGTAGAGGGTTAGTAGAGGTGGGCAGTGTAGACCATTGAGGTGGAAGATTAAGGCGGAGAGTTATAGAGATGGGCAGTGTAGACCATCAAGGTGGAAGGTCAGAGCAGATGGTTAGTAGTGACGGGCAGTATGGACACTCAGATGGACGGTCAGTGAGGGTCATCCTGCACCAATGCTCACTAGATGGTCACTAGGTGCCCAGAGTGGTCCTCAGAGCCAGGACCTCAAGGATGAACAAGTCTCTTACCAGGGGGCCGGGAGGGCCCATCTGTCCAGGGGCTCCCAGGAGGCCTGGTTCACCCTGAGGATGGAACAGAACATGGGGTGGGCTGCACCCTGTCAGAACCCAGTGTGGACCGCCCCCACCATGCACCAGGGGCAGCCCCTCCAAACAGTGATGGGATCACAAGCTGGGAGCAGGCAGAAAGGGGCTGGACCCACCCTGTCCCACCCCTGCCCCGCTCCACTCACCACAGGGCCGGGGATCCCTCGAAGACCCTCAGGCCCCACACGTCCAGGGGGCCCTCGAGCCCCCATGGGACCCGTCCTCCCTGGGGGCCCGTCAGGACCTGGTTCCCCCTGAAATGGACACAGGCAAGGGAGTGGGCCAGAGTCAGAAGATTCCTGCCTCCTGACCCCCTGCCAAGAAGCATCTGGGATCTGGAGGGAGTGGGTGCCTGGGGTGGTCACAGGTCCACCCTCTCCTGATGGCCCCACTGTTGGCCTAGAGCAGTGCAGGGACCCTTCCCCTTGTCAGGGGACTCACCTTGGCACCTTTCTCCCCTTCTCTGCCTTCTCGACCCATGGGGCCTGAAGGACCCTGGGAAGGGAAAGACAATGAGCGGGGTCTAGGGGCTGACTCAGGGTCTGAGGGGTGAGTGGGGGGCTATGGGTGAGTGGGGTCTGTAAGGTGAGTGGGGTCTGTGGGGTGAATGAGGTCTGGGTAAATGGGGTCCGTGGGTGACTGGGGTCTGTGGGTGACTGGGGCTGTGGAGTGAGTGGGGTCTGTGAGTGTGTGGGGTCTGTGAGATGAGGGGGCCTGTGGGTGAGTGGGGGCTGTGGGGTGAGTGGGGGCTGCGGGGTGAGTGGGGTCTGTGGGTGAGTGGGGTCTGTGGGGTGAGTGGGGTCTGTGGGGTGAATGAGGTCTGGGTGAATGGGGTCTGTGGGTTAGTGGGGTCTGTGAGTGTGTGGGGTCTGTG